GTGATCCACCCGCTTCGGCCTCCCAAAGTGCTGGGATTACAGGCTTGAGCCACCGCGCCCGGCTAGCCCTAACATTTCTACTCGTATGTAACAAAAGATACCATAAACAGACTTAAAAATAAGCCTCTTAACTGGGAAAAATATTTGTAACTTTTATATGAAGAGAAAGAATTACAAGATGTATAGATATATAAAGATTGATTTCTATAAATAGAAAGGAGACTGGTCTTAACAGAAGGAGACTGGTCTGTGAAAGATGGCCTTGTAAACATGAAATGATACCAAACTTTGTGCATAAGCAGGGAAATGGTAAAGCAGTGAGATTCACTGTTGGTCAGCCACTAGACTAACAACAATTTTAAAATGTTCATAGCATAACAGGTACTCTCATGTACTGCCCATGGGAATGTAAATGACACAATACTGTGGAGGACAATTTGGCAAATCTTTTTCCCCCCTAACTCTGGGATTTTTTTTCCTTTTTTTTTTTTTTAACCCTTATTTCTCTGTACTTCAATGGATATAAATTGGCACTGTCTCTGGACTTTAAGTGAATATAGCTGGTGATCCTGCAAGAAATATATGTGGCAAGGGTCATGTAAAAAATTGAGGCTGAGCAGGTGGCTCACTCCCGTAATCCCAACACCATGGCCAGGAGTGAGACCAGCCTAGGCAACAGAATGAGACCTCATCTCTACAAAAATAAAATAAAATTAGCCGTTGTGGTGCTGTGTTCCTGTAGTCACTGCACTCAGCCTGGGTGACAGAGTGAGACGCTGTCTCAAAACAAAAGAAGAAAAAAGAAAAGGAATGTTTACTGGAAACCACTTAAAAACCTGTTTGTTAACTCCAACAGAGCTTAAATGTAAAATAAATAAGTAAATGTCTTCTTGTGAGGGAACAGTTCAACTGTGGTATATTCATATTACAGATTTTGCACAGTGCTTTTAAAAGTATAGATTTGTACTAAAAAAGCAAGTTGCAAATAATATCTACATATATAGCATAAAAATATTAATACTGTGTTTTCTTTCTTTTTTTTCTTTTTTTTTTTTTCAGACAGAGTCTTGCTCTTTCACCAGGCTGGAGTACAGTGGCGCAGTCTCGGCTCACTGCAACCTCTGCCTCCTGGGATTCTCCTACTTCCAGAGTAGCTGGGATTACAGGCACGTGCCACCATGCC